GTCCTGATTAGAAAGGGAAGACAAGGTTAACTTTACACGTTGTTATAGCTGTAGCTCCTTTAAATAAAAAAAAAAAAAGTAACAGTATTGTTAGGCTTTTATGTGTGCTTTGAAGTAAAGTTTGAGAGTACTGCTTTCTGTGTCTGTTTAAGACTTTGGGGCAGTTAAAACATTCAGATGTAATCCCCTTTGGTTTTAGTCTAAGTCTTGTTTCATTACTCTTTCCACACAGGCGAGCAAAAGTGAAAGCAGACAGATACTGCAAGTGACAACCAGCTGGGCTGTTTTCCTCTGCGTCTTTGATTATATGGTCAAATTGAAAACACAAGTAAAGTGTTTTATAATTATTTTTTATGAAACGCATTTTGCTGATGTTTTTATTTTATTATTTTTAAAGGACTGCCTGAGAACTATAATTAGGCATTGAACTAGTGTCACCTTCTAGTAATGAATAGCAAGATAGTTACTAAGCAGAAGACAAATTACTCTATCCAGTGAATCTTCCGAGGTTGATGAAATGAACCTGAACTTACAGTGATTAAAGGGCAGATTAGAATGGTGATAAAGCTCAAAAGGAAAATATTGTTAGCACATTGAACTATTAAGAAATGCATAACTGTCCTCAACAAACAAGAGGAAACAATTGCAAATGGATGTCTTAGAATACATCATATCAGAAACTGAGTAGGACGTCTGTGGAGCCTTTCTGTGCTGTATCAGGTAGGGGCCAGAATATTCAGTCTTTCTTTAAACAGTGTTCAAAACAGACCCACTGTCTGATGGGGAAATGATGCAATCCATATGGTGGAAGTGTGAACAAGTCACAAGAAGCCCGTTACAAATGGAAATGCGGGTGTCTCATAAGAAAAGGGAATGACTGGCTTGTGTTAGCAGGCTGCACATTTTACAAGATGGGAAGACTCATTTCAATCAAGCTGGCTGGTTTCTTGAGAGTATGGACTTGAATTAAAAAAAAAAAAACTTTTTTAAGGTCATAGTGTAATACATGTTCCTAGTATCTTGTATAAAATATGGTTTTCCGTGTCTGTTCTGATTCCCAAGTTTTTCAATAAAAACTTCTCCATAGGAACTACCTCAGATCACTTACTCTCTCCATTTCTGTAATCTGCTTCATAAAGATTACTTGGTAATATTATTGAGGATTTTTATGATGATAATTTGAGTTATCTCCATAAAACCTCTCCTAGCTGTCAGTTTGAACTGTACAAAGTCATAAGCTAATGTACAAAGCCATAAGCTAATGCAAGATAATGTCTGCAAAAAGCATGAGAACAGGATAATAAAGTCTAGGCAGTAGTGGCAATTTAAATGGGTCTTATTTTGATCTTAAGTAAAAGAATAGAGAGTTCATGTGCATTGTAACTATCTAAACCGACTTGAATTTTCAAGATTGAAACAATCCCTGGTAGGGGAAGATTAGCCAAGGGATAGATAAGGAGATAACCCATACAGATGCATGAAACCAAAAGGAGAACTACAAAAGGAGAACTACTTAGCAGAGCTACAGGCTGGGAGATGAGTGGTTGGAGAGCTGCCAGGCAGAGAAGGACCTGGGAGTGATGGCTGATAGTCGACTGAATATGAGCCAGCAGTGTGCTCAGGTGACCAAGAAGGCCAACAGCATCCTGGCTTGCATAAGAAGCAGTGTGGCCAGCAGGGCTAGGGAGGTGATCATCCCCCTGTACTCGGCTCTGGTGAGGCCGCTCCTCGAGTACTGTGTTCAGTTTTGGGCCCCTCGCTACAAGAAGGACATCGAGGTGCTCAAAAGAGTCCAGAGAAGAGCAACAAAGCTGGTGAGGGGCCTGGAGAACAAGTCCTTCGAGGAGCGGCTGAGGGAGCTGGGCTTGTTCAGCCTGGAGAAAAGGAGGCTCAGGGGCAACCTTATTGCTCTCTACAGATACCTTAAAGGAGGCTGTAGTGAGGTGGGGGTTGGTCTGTTCTCCGACGTGCCTGGTGACAGGACGAGGAGGAATGGGCTTAAGTTGCACCAGGGGAGTTTTAGGTTAGATGTTAGGAAGAACTTCTTTACTGAAAGGGTTGTTAGACACTGGAACAGGCTGCCCAGGGAGGTGGTGGAGTCACCATCCCTGGAAGTCTTCAAAAGACATTTAAATATAGAGCTTAGGGATATGGTTTAGTGGGGACTGTTAGTGTTAGGTGAGAGGTTGGACTCGATGATCTTGAGGTCTCTTCCAACCTAGAAATTCTGTGAGGAAAAAAATCATGGGCTGGGCAAATTCATATGCAATGCAGTGATTCTTCAATGTGTGTTTCTAGAAAAGCAAATGAAAATTTAGACCTTTCTCTGAGGACTCTTAAATTTTCCATAACCAGCTCTATCCAGTCTGAGTAAAGAGATTTGCCACAGGGCTTTCTCCTTTAAGTCATTGGAATTTATTCAATTTATACCTCCAATTCATGTTATGCCTATTTTTTTTTCTTAAACTCTTGCTGTAAGCAGTGTGTTGGTGTATTTTCCCGCTGGAGGCATTCATGGATTGTTCTTGGTGATGCTGTCTTCTGGCAGAGGTCTCCTGGCAGCAGCGTTAGCAGAAAGCTTCAGCTGAAACACAGAGGAAATAAGTAATTTGTGCAGTCTGTACTTCTAAAGAAAGGAATATATCTACTAAGTAGGTACTGGATAGACGAATAAGAGAATGTAGAAGGGTGGACATGAAGTACTTCTAACGGTGTCGCTAAGTGGTGTCACCAGCTGTCAGGTAGTACAGTTAATGAGTAAATCACGCATCTCAAACTACTTTCTTCTGACTTAAATTGATGAAAACTGATTGAAGAAACCTAGACAACAAAATGGAGGACCTGATGTAGCATGGATCCTGGAGACCAGGTGTTCTGATAGGAACCTGGCAGAATAGCCGTAGTCAGATAAACACAGGCATTCAAGTATGTTAACTGTTCCCTAAACTCTGAACTTCTGCAGTGAAAGAACTAAATCAAAAGTACAAAGAGACTTCAAAAAAGTAAGTCATGCATGTGTAACGTGACCATGACATTTTTTCTTCAGAATTTGTAATTTCCCAAAGTTCTTACTGCTTTTCTGCAGCTAAAAATGTCCAAAAGGTAAGTTTCCTAAAGCATTTAAACTGTGCCCCAGAAAATAAATTTAAGCAAAAGGTGCTGCGTATTTAGAAAATAGCAGGTCTGTTTTAATCTAGGTTATTTATCACCATAGACCATAACATATTCATGTACATGCAAGTAAATATAAAATTGTCTTACAGGTATTTGTTTTCAACCAAAAAAAAGTCTGGGGCCTACATATACTGCTTCATTTCCTATTTGTGGAAGACACTGTCACGAAAATCTCAAGTTTCTTACAGTTACTCTGTAATTTTCCTTCTTTCTTAAATCCCTTGATTGGTTCTATACCTTCTTCCTTGAGCATATAATACTCTTCTGCTTGACACCTAAAGTTTTGTGCAATTCTAAGCTTAAGTTTTGAGCTGATTTCTTCCTACACACTGTTGCACACCCTCCATTTGCCCAAGGCTTTCACGCCTTATAATGCATTTATTTTATCCTTTCCTGTTTCTGCAAGGCCGTGCAACCTTCCAATTAACCATCTGCCAGGGACTTACTTTATTTTTTTTGCCACTCTCTGTTTCATATAAGAATTAATCGCATAGCCAATTAAATCATGATATTAAATAATGTATTGCTTGTTTTCTTTGTGCATAGAAAGTTATAATGTATAGAACCTGATTTGGGCACTAGATAAGGCACGAGATGTAAACTAAAACACAGAGGTCCTAGAGCGTTTTTAATATTTATGCAGGACTTTTTTTTTCCAGTGTCTGTTGCTAACATTTAGATTATACACTCACCTGTTCACAGTAATATAATACTTCTCATAGTAAGCTGTTTGTAGTATGCGTCTTACTCTGATGCTGACTTGTACTTCATATTAGAACAAATATAACATTTATTTATAGTAGCAAATAACTAATAGGCAATGTGTAGAGGGATGGATCTAATACTCTCTGATTCTCATTGTAGTAGAAGTGCTCCCTGCTGCACGTGCATTTTTCCTGCATCCCTAAGCAGGCAAGGCAGAAGAAACTCCTTCCTCCTGCAGAAGGTGGCTGCCTTGCATCTCCCATTACCATAAAAACTGCCTGCTTGAAAATCTCCCAAGCACAGAGAGCAATTAAACATCACAGTCTATACAAAGTGAAAACTGGTGCCACAGGTTTGGTCTTAGCATTGCCTGAGAGACACAACTTTATTTCAGGTTTTCTTGAGCAGAGCTGCTGGAGAAGTTTTCCTCACATTACGTTTTCCCAGCAGCTTCCCTTTGCCACAGCTGCTGGCAGGTCCATGGTGCAGCTGGCCACTTCTGCAGCTGTTGTTTTAGGGTTTTATTTTTTTAACATACCAGTCTTAGAACAAAAATTGGTTAAACACATTACAGGGTTTTTCCACTGTTGGTTTGCAAGATCCTTCCTTGCCTGCTTTTCAGCTAGTGCAGCAAGTGAAGAGTACTCTACGGTACTGGATTTACTGTGTTTCTGAGAAATTTCCAGGTAATAAACTTCTGCCGCTGCTGGAATGCAAACAGGTCAGGGCAGCTAAGGCAAGGGAAGGTGGTAATGCTGTCATTACTTGAAAATGAGAGTGGAGCCTGTCGGGGAAGCACCTCATTTCCCAGGGAAAGCTTTGAAAAGGGAGTGGAGGGGGAATTAACACCAGAAACAGGGTGTGTGGGGTTTGCTTTTTTTTTTTTAAACTCATGACTGAAAGCCAAGCCTTTGCTTTACCAAAACGAAAATAAAAGGGCGGTGGTGGGAAGGAGGGGGGGGGTTCCCAGGGCTCGGCACAGCCGGGGCAGGGGGCCCGGAGCCCACCGCTGAGGCACAGGGGGGGGCTCGGCCCCTCTCTGGGCCCCGCCTGGCGCCGTCCCGGGGCTGCCGCCGCCCCCTCACGGCAAGGGCCGGGCGGGGAAGGGCCGGGCGGGGCGGGCGGCTGTCATGTGGGGCGCCGCACATGACCGGCGCTCCCAGCCCAGCCGGGAAGGGAAGCGAAGGGAGGAGGAGGAGGAGGATGGCGGCGGGCTGGGGCCGGGCGCTGCTGCCGCCCGCTGCGCTGCTCGTCCTGGCGCCGCTTGTCCTAGCGCCGGACCCGGTGAGTCCCAGGGCGCGGCCGAGGCCCGGCGGGGCTGCTGAGGGGACAGGGACAGGGACAGGGGAGACGGGGCGGCGGCGCCTTCGTTTTCCTTCGTTGTTACAGGTGTTGGGTGGCTGTGGTGGCAGGCAGCGCTCTGGTGGAGGTGGTCGCTTGCTTTGGTGTTTATCGGGCTTGATTTACGCGCTCCCCACCCGCCTTGTTGTAGCTGCGGCGTATTTCCTGTAAATAAGTCGAACAAACGCTGCGGTGTTACACCCAAATGTCGCTTCTCAAAAGGAAAATGAAGGGCTTGCTACAAGTACACACGCTTTTGAACCTACTTAGTGCGCTTGCTGTCGCTTCATCCCAGAGGAGAAGTTTAGAGCAGGTGGGTTTGGGTTCCCGGTTTTATTACTATTTTTGTCCTAGCCGAAGTATTTCACCTTCAGAGGCAATGTCAGGTTTGTGTGTGGACAGGGCTGGCTTCCCCCTCCTCAGTGCATGAGCAGAGCCCTTCGTGCTTCCTGCTGGTTTTCACTCCCGAAGCACGCCTTCACCTCCTCAGCTCCCAAATCTCCTCCTCTTCCGCGAGGGGAAGGTGGCAGCTACCAGCACATTCCTGTGTCCCATCGCACTCAGCAAATCCTCACGCTTACACAGCAGCCACGGGGTGTCCAGGCTGCAAGTGGTGCTGCTGGGCAGCCAGACCTCAGGCTCGGGTGTTTGGTTTGTGCCACAGCTGCTGGCCTGTCACGGTCACCGAGGGATGAAATGCTCCCTGGTCCTCCATGCAGCTGCTCGGGTTCTTGTCTTTTTGTTAGCAAAGAACACGCCGCCCAAATGCTGTGAATTACGCCATGAAACACATCGCACTTCTGCAGACTTTCACTCCCTTTAGCTTCAGTTAGGTCTCTGCAGCCACACTGGTTGTTTTTTTTCTGTCCAAAACGTGATTTAAATTGGCTTGGATCCCATGTCTTCGGTGCTGCCGGAGGACTTTGAACTTCCATGTGCAGAAAGGTGAACGTCACCTGGAGTGCTGCAGCACGGCAGGATGTCGGCACTGTCCTGCCAGGGGAGAGGAGCAGAGATGAAAATGTTCTAGACTGCAGGGTTCAAGGACCAAAAGATGCTGAACAGAACAGGGTATTTTGTCTGACAGAGCGAATGTCGTGTCCTTTAACTACAGGACAGTATTTCACAGTATGAAGAGTGTTTTATGACTATTTTGAAATAAGAAGATAAGCACTGAATATTAAGGGAGGAGACAAGATGACCGTCTATGTCAAAAACATTTTTGAGGGCAATAAAGAAAGTCTTAGCGAGGGCATTGTTTAAACAGGACAAGCTACATTCAACCTATTTATATTAATGAAGTCAGGCAAGGTTTTAATAACTCAGCGGTTATAAACCATGCATTAATTGTCTTTACTACAGTGAATAATAACTGTTATTAGGTAGTTTTGTTGTTGTTGTTTGTCCAGGCAGTAATTCACTGTGTTAGTTTCTTAGCTGTTTGGTTTCTGCTCCACTCTACTTTGTTCATAGAATAGGCCATAACAAAACTATTTTGTATTATTTCCTTTTTTTTAATTATTATTTCCATCCTTCCCATGCCACATTGTCTTTCTCCCCCACTGCCAGCTTTTTCTTTTAGCATTTTGGTCTTTTGCTGCTAAGCATCCATTTTTGTATCATTATGTGCATACAAATTCTAAAGTCAGCTGTACATCAGATAATGAAAATACACAATCTACTAGTGAAAGGTGACTTTATTAATAATAAAAACAGGGATAGACATCATTTAATCACCTTTCGAGAATAATTGTATTCCTCACAGGAAGGTTCAATGTTTGAAAAGTGATCTCAGAGTGACCTCCTTGTGCTAGGGAGCTTCTGCTGGCTGTTCCTGGGAGACCACCTGCAGCTTGTAAAGCCTGAAACTAAAGGTGATCCCCTCCTTGGTGCTAGGAGGCTGCGTGTGCTTCTCCTGGGCAGTGTTGTTGCTCTTCCAGTGTTAAGCCTCTGCAGAGGGGAGGATCTCGCTGACGCAGCACTAACCTCACAGCTGCTTATTCCATCCTGGTGATAGAAAGTGCCTGGTGGTTTTTCTGGTAAAGAGTCCCTCAAGCAACAAATAGTTGTTAGGTTTTAGCTAGATTAATAGCTAGTTAGTTAGGTTTGTGCTGGAAATTAGAAATCTAGTGCAGCAGCAGGAGTGTTTGATCTTTCTGAAGACCCAGGAAAACTGCACCAGCTCACGAATGGTTGGCTGTGACATCAGCCTCTTGAGGCAGGAAGCTCAGTTACACTGAAGTGTTTTTAAAAAGTTGACTTTCTCTTTTTTTTTTAACCTTGTTAAAGAGAAAAAGAAAACAGTTTTCTGTCCATTGGCAGAAATTTATTGAAATATATATATATTATTTTTTTCTGATTTGTTTTGAGATCCTTTTAGATTACTATTTGTCTGCCAGCATATAATAGTTTATGTAAAAAAATTGTTAATAATCTTGGCTTTCATCAGATGTCTTAAGCAACACTTGCAGGTTTGAGAGATGTAGAAGGGGCATTGTTTATTTAGCTTGCTCTATACATAGGCAGGTAAGAAGTCAGAAATTACTGAAATCCAAGGAGGGGATATTTTCTCTGTTCTCTATATCTCTCTTTTAACTCTTTCTTTGTTCCTTTCCTCACCTCTTTTGTGGCTTAGGTTGCAGAGGACTGCAGAGGACAAAAATAGCATCATATACAAGATTAAAATCTCAGGGGAGATAGGAATGAGATAACAATTAGTACCTGGAACAGCACTCTGAAATCAGTTTGCCTGGCCACCACTGTTTGCTCTGTGTTGTCAGCACAGATAGACTGTGCTGACAGATAACTGAGCTTTTATGGTGGAAGGATCCAGCAGTGCTTAGTACAAACTCCTTGACAGAGAAAACTGTCAGTAACCTTTCCAGGAAGCAGGATTTCCAAGCTGAAGTTCATTAAATACGTGACAATCTCAACCTAAATGTGTTCATGTGCAATTCATCACTTACACGAGCGTGTGTTCCTGTTAACCTGGCACCAGTCCTGTTCCCAGGACTTGTAGCGTGTCCTCCCCGTTGAAGAGAGCCTACCTGCTGGGTGTGAAAGGGACCCTTTGGGATTATTTTTGGTAGTAGCCGTCATCTGTCAGGAAGCAGATCTTGACAGCAGATTTCTCCAGAAGGTCCAAATTTGTGCAATCATTGCAGTAGGATGTATATGGGACATAGTTTTTTCTAACTTATTTTAGTACTGACGGATGGAAAATTTCCCAAGACAGTTGCTTTAATACTGTCATATGCTTGGCTTTGCATGAAGCCTCTGACTTTTGTTGCCTAATTAGTCACCTGATATCTTCTCCCACCCTCCTCGTTTTGTAACTTCCTCGTTTTGAAAATTAAATGGGTTCTTGTGGCTGACTTTTGTTCCAGCAATGCCGAGGCTTTAACTGCACTGAGGGCTAGGAAGGGCATAGCTGCTAGCCATATGTGTGGGAAAGCCGGCCTTCACCTTGCACTTTCTCCCAGCCCCTGGAACCCACACAAAAAGAAAATGCTGTGATAATGCATAAAAATCGATGTGACTTTAAAATTCCCATTTCCCATTGTAACAAATTGTGCCAGTGCTTAAACGTGATGGCACTGTGTCAGCTGGTGCGTTTTGTAGATCGTGGCATTGAGAACAGGCCGTGTGATTAGCCCTAACGTGGCCATTAGGGAGCTTATTGAACGTGGATGCACAGCTGCTGGAGATCCTGCCTGTTTTTATTGTGGAGCATGTTACAAGGACTCATCACTAATCTAATTGCCACAGCCACATTAAAATTGGAAATCAGCAAGGAAGTGGGGGAAGGGTGATGTGCTTAAGTAGCTCGGGGGGCAAATGCGGTCTGTGCTCAGCTGGTTTGAAGCCCAAATGCAACTAACAGGCATTTGTTTGTATTGCAGCGGGTAATACATGCCTTAATAATGCTGGTGTGTATATCCATGTAGGTGAAGCTTAATACTGAACATATTTATGAATGGCATTATAAAGTGAAACTAACTCACTACACAGAACAAATTGGCCCATACCAAGACTCAAGATGCCTGAGTTTTTCTGAATAAAATGCTTTTCAAGTGCTCTTATGGTCACGTGGTTGAGTCACATTGCATAAAAATGGGTTTGTACATTCGTTGTAAACTTGGGTTTATCTTGGGCTATGTTGGACTGGTGACCTGAAGCTCAGTCAGGTATCATATGGAAGTTGCAGTTCACCCACTGCCTCTTTTATTCTCCTCTCCTCCTTTTCCAAAGTCCCAAGACTTTCACTTCCTTTATTATTGAGTCATTATAGATCAAATCAGTTGATTCATCTTAAAGGTCCAAATCAAAACTAAGTCTTCTAGAACAATAAAATATTGTAACAAAGAAGCTAAGCAGTAATCTGTTACTGTCTTCACAGTATGGAGAAGACTGCAAGACTAAAACGTACCCTCCGTCAGGACCAACGTAAGTAATCTGTTTGGACCTGTCTAACTAATTGCAGAAAAGTAGCGATTTGCAAGTGTCAGCAATTTGTGTTTTGTTGAGACTTGTTCGCATTACAGATACAGAAAATACCAGTTACAAGTGAAAAGCGCTTGTTTTGTCAGATGTATTTTCAAACTTCCTATAAATCTGCGCTGTCACTTTTCTTTTAGGTTCAAAGGGAATGTACCCACATATATCATAAATCTTGATTTGCCTCCCAGCAAAAGATGGGATGAGTTGATGCGTGACAAAAAGACAGAGGTATGAAAGCAGAGCTTACCGTTCAGCATAGCTTCTGTGACTGGCATGTGTCCTTTTACTATTGAAAAGGTTATAAGAAATACTGTGCTGAAATCTATTATTTTTATTCTAGTTTATATATAGAATAGAATATTTCTATTTTATGTTTAAAATGGTTCTAGAATATGGTAATTGCTTGACTGAACTTTCTTCTGTTCAACACTTGAACAAGGGGCACTAACGGTTGGGGCACAGACAAATGAAAACGGTGCAACATAAAGCAGACTTTAATTTATAAAAGGTCTTTAGTCATGAAGTAATACAGCACGAGACGAGGAGTATATCAAAGCAACAGCCTCGGTAAGCAGAAGTGAAACTGAGACAGCATCCTTTCTCTATCCATCCACACTTCTCTGAAAATGTGGGGTGAGATGATGAAATGGTGGAGGGAAATGAAGAATGTCTCACCCTTTTTAGGGGTGTTAGTTGCAAAGCTAGGGTTTTTACAGGGTAAATAACCTTTAAAATACTTGATGCTTTTTCAGGCTATAGCTGTTCTCCTGAAGATTGCTGAAAATGCAATTCAGTAATACTAAATTTCACTAAAAAGGCTAGGGCTATATTGCTATTGATGGTTTTGCTATGTGTTGTATTGCTGTTGACTTTGACCTTTCAACTCAGAAAGTTAGACAAATTCTACTTACGATTTTTATTTTAAAAGTCTTCAATAAGGTTTTTATTTTCAATTTGTACAAGTGGGTTTTAGAAGCTTAAGGTTGCATCTTAAATGCTGAAAGGTTTTACCGTACATTTTGGGGTTTTACCGTACATTTTTTTTTACCGTACATAGTGTGGTGATCTGTCATTGTGGCCATTCTCATATTGCAAACAAAGCTTTTCTACTGTACTTTCCTAAGGAAGCTATCTAGTCGTTGTCTTTTTTTTTTTTTTTAATTTAAAAATATCAATGCTTAAGCAAAGAGCTCATAATTAATTTTTAAAAGATGGAACAGTGCAGAATATTAAAAAACGATCACATGAGCAGAATACAAGAATGGCCTTTTCCTGTAATTTTTTTTTCTAAACAAAATAGGGATATGTAGATGCTGATCTAGAATGTTATTTGAAGAAAGCTTGGAAATTAACTCTTAAATGGGCAGTGGGGAGTGTTTTTCTCAGCAAAATCATATTTAGCACTTTCTTTAAATATGTGTTTTTTAACAAGATGTTAAAGTATGTGAAAGAGTTCTGTTAGTATTCTAGCAATTGTTATGCTCAAGATCTTCTATTCAATAAAAGCCTTTGTTCTTTTTAGTTGAAGACCGTAGTCCAGAATATAAAAGATATAGCAAATACCTTCTTTCCTAGTGGCAAAATTGTTGACATAGTGGATCACAAAGTAGTAAGTACTTTCAGCCTAATTATTTTATTACTGTGTGCTCTGAGTACCAGAATTAAAATGCTACTAATTTTTGGCAATAAAGACCTTTATATGTAATAATTTTTCCTCTTGGATTATTCAGAACAAAAATGTTATTTTGAAGAGTTAAATTACTCTGAAGCCATCAATCCTAAAATGCTTATCTCCACCTCTTTTAATTTTTCCAAGAGCTTTTCAAGTTTGATTTAGTTATATTGGGCATATACACTATTTTGACATAAAGCTACCGTATATGGGTAGTCATGCCAATGTTAGAGAGTCCCTTAAATACGGACAACCTCAGGCTCAGTTCCAGTCAAACTCTTTTGTTGAGTCCTGTTTAATGCTGCTATTGCTGTCCTGCTAATGCTGTCTATTGCTGCTGACAATAATTAGATATTGTGCTAATCTCCATTGCTCACTTGTCAATATTTTGGTAAATGGTATTTACTTTGCATAAGTATGTACTTTTCTTCCAAGTACTCTGCAAACATCCTCAAGTTCTACAGACTGCAGAAGAATTAAATACTTATTTTTATAGTGCTAAGAATGGGGAGAGGTTTGTTTCAAATAACCAAATAGCCTTTGCTTACACAAACAACATACAAAATTTTTCCTTTCAGTCACACCTAACCGAAACACTTCCGTATCCTTTCAATGAAGAGCTCCAAGGGATTGCAAATTCATCTGGAGTTCCTTTGGGTAATAGTCTTCAATGCTTTGTTAACATAATGGAAAACTAGGAATCTAGACTCATTTAAAACTAGTATATTTAAAAATCTGCTGTATAGTTGTATTCAAGCTGTGACTTTAACAAATAAATTATTAATTAAGTAGAATAAAGCAATAAATTTCATCCCATACTAAGTGAAAACAGTATTTTAGAAAGGAATGGAAATGAATCACATAACCCTTTCATTAGGCTGGGCCTTCTCTGTGTAACTTCTCACCCCTGAGCTTTGGGAACTGGAGGGAGTTCTGCCTTCTGTGCACCTGGAATCTGGGGGATTCTTTGGTTCTCTTTGGTTTCCTGTTCAGCTGCATCTACTGTTGATGTACCAAGGCGAGGCTCGCTTTCATGCTGTGCTTTCTCTCCTTTGAGATCCTTATCACATGTTCCTGCCTGTCTTCTGCACCCCTTGCAGAAGAAATGTAATCCCAGGCAAGAAGCAGACACTGAATTCTTCCAGAATCTAGACAGAGAAGGTTCACAGACCTGCTCCCACTGCTTCTTTGTATATGAGCCAGACGCCCATTTCTTGCAAGGGAGAACTTGTGCATATAGCAGCTTATTTCTTTAAAGAGAATTTTACAGCTTGTTTTGAAGTTTCCAGAGTAGGAAGTAGCAGTGACTGTCAGCTTTCTATATGGGAAGGCAGAAGGCCAAGAGATTTTCATCTTTCTGTTGGCCTGTCAGGAAGCTGAACTGGTCATTTTAAATATCAAATGTGATTAAATAAATTCTTAAGAGAAATAGGATAGAATGCTGAACTTTGCAGTATGCTTTTTTCTATTTTATTTTTTTTTTAGCAAAAGTTTCAAATTATTCTTTTTCTTCTTTTCTAGGGGAAATTGTTATTTTTAACATCTTTTATGAAATTTTTACCGTGTGTACCTCAATAGTGGCAGAAGATAAAACAGGTAATGTATCCCAGAATGGTGCTTTTGGTTTTGTTCTATGGCAGGAAGGAGTGAAAATAAGAGATGGTTTCATTTTCTAAATCAGTTCTGCAGCCCTTGTCTGCATCTGTTCCTATTTAGGAAACTTCTGAAGGATTCTCAGAAGGCTTAACAAAAGTCTCACTTTCAGAGAAAGCTGGAGGTTAATCCAACATTACTGTTGGATTAACAATTTGGAACGTATATAAGGCTGAGATAGTGATTTTAAAAGTTGGTTGATTTCAGTTATTAGGTTATTATTTTAGTTATTAGGTAAAACATTACTCTGGGTAAAACAGGAAAAAACAACCATTGTTCTGTGCTTAAAAAAAGGAAAACTATGCAGTGGTATTTTCCCTGCTGATGTGTGTTTTCTCTTTTTTCTAAACTGATATTTGTCTTCTTCTTTAGGAAAGTTTGTATGTATATATTTACTTATTTTTTCATTTTACTGAAGGGAAGCTTTATCATGCCAGAAACTTGGATTTTGGACTCTTCCTTGGGTAAGTACATAAACTTGTACCTTTTGGGTTTAAAAAAGAAAAAGAGATTAGAAAGTCAGCCAAGTAGATTTCTATATGCCTTCCTTGAGCATAATTGAACGTTGTTAGAAACAGTGACAAGCAAGTCTGCATTACGTATTGTGGAAGAAAGGCTAAAATGAACAAAAGGATTGTTCTGTGATCACATGTCAAGCTGCTTTGCAGTTGTAAGGAATGACTTTGCAAAAACAATTGTTTGTTGTTACTGAGTGCTTTCTCAGCTGCAGTTAAATCCATCTCAAACATCTCTAGCAAAGAACAGTCTGTGTAACCTTATTTTAGAGGCACAGTGTATCTTGTTCATGAAGTGATGGGACAGGAGCATCAATTTTAGGGTGTGCAGTGAAATGGGGGTTGGTCGAGGGTGGGTTTGTTTGTTTGCTGTTTCCAAATTATCCCCACAGTTTCTGTACTGTGCTTCACTGGCATTTTCTATCATCATTTCTGTTCAAAGTCGGTGATTTATATTCCATGGATCTGGCATTATCACTTCTTGACATACAAACTTTGACTGGATTCTCTTTTAGTTCTCATTTCACACTTCATAATTGAGTATTTCATTTTGTTTTCTGAGTATATTCATATTCCCATGTATGCCTTTATTATATTACAGTATATTTTGTAATGTCGCTTACTCAGATGACTGTTAATGTTCAGGTGGAATTTACAAGTTCATTAAACTTCTCAGCTGCCTGTCAAATAGTCAGATATCGTCAACTGTGATTGCACCTATCCCTTAATAGGCTTGTGTGCAACTACTCCCATGTGCCAGAAAGACTGGGAATGTGCTCCCTGAAAATTAAGGCAACTTTGCAAAGCTGTTCCCAGAACTTGGATTATTTCCAGAGAATGTAATTGTCTATTAAGTATTCCTTAGTACCTCGTCACATACAGATTGCTCTGGCTTACCTTACAAGCTGTCACTGGGTCTTCCCATCATGTAGAACAAATCCAATTGCACGCATTTGTTTTCTGCCTTTGAAATGAAAGAGTTTGAGGGAACTGGTTCATTCTGCTGCAGCACAAACAACGTATGCTTTCAGAATAAAACAGGTTCAGTGTCATAATCAGTATTGTAGTGGCTTCCCCCTGGCAGTAGGAATAGAATTAAATTATCATTGAGAAGTTACCATCATCATTACCTTAAAACAAACCAGCTATACTGATGGTGCTGTTTAATACAGAGTAGTATTTGTGCTGTTGGTCTCACTAAAACTTGGTTCTCTTCATTGACTGCCCACGCATTTAGACTTTCTGGTTGTCCCTTGCTCATGCTGCTCAGGTAACCACTGAGCAATACTGTCTATTGGTATGAGTAAGATCAGAGCACAGGCATCACGCACAAGAAACCCATGGTTTGTAATTACAAGCTTTAAAAGCTACTGGGGGAGGGAAAAATTCAAATTTTTGTGCCATCTTCCTCAGGTGGGACGTTAAAAACAATTCCTGGACTCTGACTCGGGAACTGAAGCCTACAGTGGTAAACTTGGACTTCCAGAGAAACAACAAAACAGTATTTAGGTCTACAAATTTTGCAGGCTATATTGGCATGGTGTCCGGAGTCAAACCAGTAAGTATGGTGGGGGAGGCTGTCAGTTTGTTAATAATGCTGCAAGCTTCCCTTTAAGATGTAAATCTCCTACTTTAATCCTGTGTACTGGGATATTTTGATTAGTGAGCTAATTGCTTTAGTACACAGTATAGATATTTGAAGAAAGATGAAAGGAAACAGTGCTGCATTGTTCTGTCTAAAAGAATTTGGGCTAAATGGAACGCATTTGGACAATCGCTAAACATATGTTGAATTCTGAACATACAAATGAGTGACTATAAAGCGCTGAAGCGGTTGTTGTTTCTCACTAGCAAATGGAAGGACAGTGCTGTGATCCCAGAGGTGAAACCACATACTTGTGCTGTTTCAGTTCTCTAATTCTTCTTAGAAAATGCAATGCTGTTTTCTTCTTCTTTTCTTAAATCTGGGTTTTATCTAGACCTTAAAAACCAGCAGCAGAGAACTTGAGCAGAGAACTCTGGCTTACCGCAGCTCTTCCTTTTCTACATCCTCTGCCATTATCCTCTATTACAGTTGGCTCTTTTCGTAGTAGAGCATTGGCATTGCATCAATTTATTCTTGTCTTCTGATCTCAGTAAACTGACAAGATTCTATTCTGAAAATGGTTCAATATGGCTGAATTTGACTTTCCTCTGAAAGAAACACTATTGGGAGAGGCCTGGGATGTGAGTCTGAATTGTGTTGCAAGTAGTGCACGACGAATTATGTGCAGCTGCATGCCCATATGAACAGCAGCAACGTGGCAGGGTTTACTTAGCATAGGCACTTAAAATTCTGCCTTCAAACTAGAACAGTAGTTGGAGCTCTGAGAAGAAAGTACAGCAAGGGGAGGTGGTAATTCAGTCATACAACATGGAAAAAGAGAAAAACGGCCAGAGGCTTGACTTGATTAGCAGTCCAGCAAACTACACGTACATGCTATGCTAGGTCAGGAAATGACGAATGATCATTTCTACTTCTTGAAGCAGATACTAATGAGGTTCTTCTCCACATAGGGTTGGTCTTGCAGCTCTTTACTCAGTGGGGAATAGTCTAACGGACAAGAAGTTCAATTGGCATGTAAATTGCAACACTGCCTTTTGTCTGTTACTGATGGGTTAGTGACAGATGGAGGTTGATTTGTTTAATGCTTTTCAGGATTTGTTCACTCTGACAATGAACGAGCGTTTCAGTCTGGATGGTGGCTATGTTGGTGAGTAACGCTAAGCTGGTGAGTAATTCTTCCATTGTTTCAGTACAAGTCCTCCAGACCTCAGACATTGCAGTTACCTTTAACAGTCACACAAATAGCAATAAGATTCCAGATGGGTAGGATAAACCATGATTCATTTTAAAGGCTAGGGAAGTTAGAATAGCACAAGTGAACCTTTTGAAAAATATATTGTAACCAGTGCTATTTTTCAGGTATCTTTGAGTGGTTTCTTGGGAGAAGAGATGGTATGTGGATGGGCTTTCTTACCAGAGCAGTACTAGAGAATGCTACAAGGTATTGCTTTTTTCCACGTAAACATTTTACTGCTTTACCCTGTTTTGCTTCTGACTGGCATGAATACTGTAAATACCTGCTTAGTATCTAATGATATTGATACCTTCCTAGAAGCCTGCGCATTAAATAATTCTGGTTTTGCTGGTACTCTGGTGGTGGGAAAGACTTATAAAATTGTTTTCTCTGACTTTTTTTTCCCTAATGAAGCTACTGGTGTCTGAATGTGTAACAGCATTTTGCATCAAAATACATCCACCACAAAGCTCACATGTAGTAAATGATCTAGTTAGAAAGTAACACTGCTGTAGCACATCTCCATTTTTAATGTAGAGAACAGACAAAAGACACCTCTCAGCAACTATGAACTCAGTGGAGAGGCTTTACTTAAATGCGTTCTTTCACTGTGATACAATCTCTCATGCAGTACATGAAAGGGGAAGAAAGGTGTACCCAAACTTTTCCTGTCTGTGAACTTTCTTCAGTACTTGAACCATTTATAGCCTTTAATAGTCCAACACCACTTTATTTGCAGCTACCAGGATGCAAAAGACAAACTGGCAAAAACAAGACTGCTGGCTCCCGCTTACTTTATACTGGGTGGAAAAAATTCTGGAGAAGGCTGTGTGATAACTCGTTCCAGGACAGCTGCTCTGGATATTTGGGAGTGAGTATGGTTGACCTAATACCTGACTCCTCGTTCCAGCAGAGGACAGATTCCACCAGTAATTGTCACAGGTTTTTGTCTTGATTTTTGTTGCGTAAGAACTCAGTCCTTTAGCATCACTGAAATATATCTGTAGTGAGCCAAAAAATCTTCCAGTTCTGTATTTTGAATGTATAGTAACAGAAGCAAAACACAAACGTATACTTCTTTTCCAGCCTTGATATAAAGAAGGGCACGTGGTATGTGTTAGAAACAAACTATGATCGCTGGAAGCCTCCGCTGATCTTGGATAATCGTAGAACACCTGCAATGAAGTGCTTGAACCAGACAACACAAGAGGTAAACATCCTCCAAATACCTAACCTTGCTATTGTGAAACTCTTATTATACTGATCTGATATCTAGGGCATTTGGAAGCACAGCTGTAATGACAGTGACTAATGGCTTTGTGACAATTTGTCTACACTTCTGGATAATACGGTACCAGGTGGCTCTTCACATGTTTGGTTTTTAGTTGCAGGCTCTCTCTTACTGTAGGTGGGTTTCCTACAAGCATTTTCTGCTGCTGCATATGCAAAGAGATAATATTTCTCAAAGTATCTCCTGGTTTAAGTGTTTTCTCACTTCACTAGTTTGCTACCTGACAGTGTGCTTTAACTTTCCCACTGCCACTCAATTTTCCCCTGCAGTGTTGAAATCTAGTCCGCACAAGTCTTTGCAGTATTTCTGTATTCTTAAAGGTTTATCTTACTATGTAAGTAGTCACAAATGGTACAGTTCACAGCATTTACACAGTGTTAAGTAACAGGTTAATAGCCATTAACATCAATGTATTCCTTTCTTTCAGAACATCTCCTTGCCAACTATTTATGATGTTCTCTCTACGAAGCCTGTCCTCAATAAGGTAATGCTTCTATTTTCGCAGAAAGGTTAGAGCAGGGGGGTGAAAGGGGCAACAGACCAGGAAGTACTGCATTTCTAAGGAGGAGGTCACAGTGATACATTCAGTTTTTACCACACTGACAGGTTGTGGGAGGGCTAAATTTGTACTGTAAATGAAGTTTAAGGTATTAAAAGTGAAGCTAGAATTTAAATGTTAAAAATAAAACCGGTCTACCTTCTAAAAGCCTTTAATGGCCTCCCACAAGACTTCCACCTGATAATTTCCTTTCAAAATAAGCTTGCTGAAGGTTTGCTTATCCTGAGCCCAACTAAAACTAGATTGTAAGGAGAACAGAGTAGCTCTACTGGAAAGACAGAGCAAAAAGTAAAAGGGAGAAGGGGCATGGAGTTGTACAGGAAGGTTTCCTGCATGTGCGTGATTCAGGTGCATTGTCCTTCACTGCATGGGAAGGGAAGTAGTGGTTTTTTGTTGTTGTTTGTGTGTATTTTTTTTTTTAAAGACTGAGGTGGTGAGGAGGTGGTGGTTGGGTTTTTTTTGAACAACAAGTTACTATATTCAGCGGAGGCAGCATTCTTGGCTGCGAACAAGCTACTTACATGTTGTTGACTTGGTGAACAGATCTCAAGATTAGACTTACGCAATTAGTTAAATAAGATAAGCGCACATTTTATTTGAACTGTTCAGCTAGTGTCTTTGTTTTTTGTTTTAAGTAATTCCTCTAATGAGGCTTTTTTCCTTCTTCCCACCTGTTTATTAGCTGACAGTGTGCACGACACTGATGGAGGTGTATAATGGTCATACAGAGACTTACCTGCGGGAATGCCCAGATCCCTGCAGTCCTTGGTAGTCATGTACCTGTCCTGTGTTGGAAGCTGCTTGTCTGAAATGGAAGCCCTCCAAGGAAAAAATACTCCTGGAAAAAAAGATTCCTCAGCCTAACCCCTTTCTTCAGCAATCTAATGGCTCTATAGAAACATCAATGAGCTTCTAACAGTGGAAGACCTTATCTTGCATTGGACCTTCTTGCTTTCTGCTCAGCAGTTCTGCTGGCAAGAAACATATGATAATGTATATCTGTTTTGATTTCAGCTGTTTCTGCAAAAGGAGTTCAGCAGTTAGCTCTAGATCTCTTCAGTCTTGACAATAGTCTGGTTGGGGGGTTATTTGGTGGTTTTGTGTTTTTGTTTTGTTTTAATTGAAGTACTTCTAAAGCACAAATGAGTTAAAATGGCACCTACCAAGCTTGAAAAGAGTTGTGTATTAAAGGGACATCTGTGATGATATCATTATGTTATTCTTTCCTAAGCACTCAAGATGAATAGATACTGTTCTGGTCTAGTATGATGGTATGTCTAAAATGCCCTGTTATGACTTCTTGGCAGGTTATTTTATATCTATTCACAGAAGCAAGCACTTGGAGAAATATCTAAAACTAGATCTGAGCCTAAAACGTCTGTTCACTGATTTGTAGATCTCTAGCTGAAGTTCTTTCTTGGCCTGTTAACAGATATATATTTTTAATACAGATTTCTGTTGTTTAAGAAAAAAATAAATACTAATACAATACATACTCTGAAGAACTTCTGTCTTAGACCACAGTACACATGCATCAATTTCATACCTCACTGGAAGTCATCGGGTATATTACATGTCACAGGTCCTTCAGAAACAGGGAGAAGTGCAGGCACCTTCATATCCTAGGAAGCAGACAGTGTAGAAGGCAATACTTTTATCTATGTCAGTAGATCATTTCTGGGCCTAGTTATAAAACACAATGCCAACTCTTGTTTTATAATACACAAAGAGGAAACACTGGAGAGTAAGCATAGGGGCCTGTACACATATTGGTTCATGGGTAGTACTTTAACCACCCTAGGAAAAAGATGCTATTCATATTCCACTTGATAGTAGAGCCATTAATTTAAAATTGCCACTGGCATAAAGTAAGCGTTTGCTGTGTCTCTTTGGTATCTCCAGACTATCTTGCATAAGTCATTCTGCCTACCTACAGCGTTCAGAAGTTGATGACATACACTTATGACTGGATTCTTGATAACCAAGATATTCAAAGCAGTAAAAGTGTGTATTGCAGAAGCTTGGAACAATGGATAATAGTAGTCTCCTGTTCCGAACAGTGAAGTCAAATTATTAAAGTCTAGTAATTTATATATTACTAAATATATGTATATATTTAGCAACCGACACTAAGGAATCTACAGAAGAAGAAACAAACTGCCCATAAATTTGAGATACTGAGTCACCTCTCATCCAAGTTGGCTGGCTAAGTTATACTTAGTATTGTTTCCTTTTCTGAAGGAAGTATTTAAAGCTAACCTTTTGTCATCCCTTGTTTCAGGAACCAGGTTACCAGCTAACAGCAAAGTCGTCAGTTCTAATAAGCTTTCCTTTCATCAACAACGGAAGAAGTGGAGATGAAAGTAATGCTAATTAGCCAAATATCTTTAGCATCTGCTATGTTAGGAAACATGCCTTCTTGCTGGAAAAAAAAAAAAAGAACATCCTAGGTCTTAGAAAAAATGGTTGTAGCAGAGCAAGAAGCGAATCAAAGGGATGTAAACCAGTGGCACAGTAACACCATACAGAAATCAGCATCTTACTATTTAAACTGACCTTAAAAACAAAAGGTTGATACTAGTTGTGTATCTATTTTTTTCCCAGCTAACATAAGCAAGCAGAAGCATGTTAGAATGATTGCACTACCAGAGTCTATTTTCAGTCTGACTCTGGAATATTGAACCTATGTAAGGTAAAATCACATTTTAGATTAGGGGAAAAAAAACAGCGTGGTGTAAAATGGAGTTTCTGGGTCAGATGATTCATATAAAACATCAAGTCAAATGGTGCAGTCAGTACCATGAAGTCACGATACTGCTGAGTTCACACCTTAATCTGGCAGGGGGTTGTTCAAATTCATTTGGAATTAGTTGCTTAACAGGCATAATCAAATTACTTTGCCATTTAAAAATAAGCAGTAAGTTTACTTGCTTAATTAGCCCTGTCCCACTTTAGAGTATGTGGAGCAAGGCCATGTAGACTATTCACAGCCATTAACTAATGTGCTTTTGGCATGTCCCTTGTGCAAGAGAATCTACCTTTCCACACTGGAAATTGCTTTACAATTGCAAAATCATAGCCAAATCTTGTGGAGATCTATCCAGAGCCTCAATAAATACAGCTGCTATTGACAAAAACAATCAAAGCTATTAAAAAAAAAAAAGTATGTCTTGCTATGTCTGCCTTAATGTATAAAGTGATTAGTGCAATTAACTGCTTATTGGTTTAACCATCACCTGTTGATGCTGAAAGCATCAAGGTTCTGTTTGTTTTTAAGTTTAAATAAGGTTCTGCTTAGCAATCCTTACTTCCATTTGCTCAGTTTCCTGCTTCTCTTTCAGGAGCAGCATGCATTTCATTCAGAGTACAGGAGACTCACACAGCTTTCCTAGGTCTGATGTGAAAAATCACAAGACTTCTTTTGCCAGAGAGCAGGAAGCAGTCCAAGCCACCGGCCCATTATATCAGGATGCTTAGAGAGAGAAAGAAAAAATGATGTAAGCAACAAGACAAACTTATTTTTAACTGCTATTGCATAGTCTAGTTCTATGAGGAGTAGCTTCAGTATTTTAGCTTCCAGCAGATTTTTGTTGTTGCTATAAATACAATAAAGTTAATTCAGTGCTTCATTAAATAAGGCGTTACAGGAAACAAGGCATTTGTTTGGACACTGGCATTTGAATGCAAAAATGTCAGTTTGTCAAGAAAATTTTCACCTCTAAATCTGAGAAAGCCACACAGTGAAGATTGTGCCATCTCAGGGGAAGAAAGAATGACATCTCCCACTCAAAAAAGCAAAACATGGGCAGCAAGTGAGAACAGGAGAATGAAGGAAAGGAATTTTCACCCCAAATCAAGCCAAGGTTTTGGGACACACATGAAACTGAGTTTGCTTTTGAGTCAGTTACAAGTTAAGGCTCTGTTCAGAAGCAGAACTGCAGAAGCAGTGCCCACAGATGTCATGGAAAATAGCTGCAAGGAAAGAGCAAGATCAATAGAAAACAAGTTGGAGCAAGCAGCCGTGATGGGGAGGGCACTGGCAGAGCAGCAGAGACCTCTAAGCAGAGGCGAGAGTCCTAAAATCCCACTCCTTCCCAGCACACCTGTCCCACCTTCTACCCAGACAGCTCCTCAGCCTACAGGTGGAAGGAGAAAAAATAAATGCAAACAAAAGAGCTTGGATTTCACCTTAGTGGTTAACAGCAGGCAAATGACCTGCTAATGCTGAGGCTCATCAGCTGTTCTGGTTTTGGAGGACCAGAAATGGTGGTGAAAGAGGAACGCCCAAGCTCACCAAGCAGCAAAACCTCGCATCCTTTGCGCCAGCAGAACAAGATTAGCCAGAAAGAATAATGCTCCATCAAAGCAGTGGCAGAAACCACAGTTTGCCTTGGGAAGAAATCTCCAGATATTTACGTATTTTATAAAAAGCTCCCTGCGACTGTCAGAACAGTCTGGAAACACAACACGCAAACTGGTCAAATCTGTGACCAAGAAGCAAGCAGACCATGCTTACTTCCCTCTAAGTCTGCCTACCAGTTGTTCAGAGCACTATATCTTGCAGTATCCAAAATTTTCAAGATCCTTTTTAGCTCAGTCTGCTCCCACCCTGTTACTTAAAAGAGATGAAATTAATTATGAAGGAGTTGGCCTGCTTACATACTGAGTACCAGGAGCTCAGGCCATTTTCTGCACTACAGTGAATCAGCTCTGAATTACATTAATCGTATATAGGACAACCTCTCTCACTCTAATTTGTTTTGCAAAGTTTGTTCTCTTAGCTCAAGGGTTATGCGTGAGCGTAAGGAGAATCCTAGTAGTAAGACTGCCTCCGACGGGTGTGCTGTGTTTAAGGTAACTCCAGTCATTAGGTTTGCTCAGGGCTTTCCACTTGCAGGGTTTTGGCTTTCTTCTGATCTTGCTAAGCTTTCTCCATTTCATAGACACCTGATGTAGAAAAAAAAAATAATAATAATAATTCCTAGGCTTTTCCCTCCTAATATTTCAATGAAAGTCATTTTTCTCTTTGAGAAATTTAAATGAAGAAAATAAATTGCCTATAGTAGGACAATAAAGCCATCAGCAGCACCGAGCTGTGACGGTGCTGGAATGCCACCTCGTTTTTACAGCGGACCATCCGGTACCTGGAGGTGCTGAGGTGAGCCACAGCCCTTTCTCAGGCCACACCTACCACCCGAATCACACCAGCAGTTACACAGAACTACTCAAAGGTTTCATTTGCATCAGCTTAGTTCCTGAAATGCTACATCTGCATTCCTGCAAGAGGTGTACAGCCACGGAAGGCTGGAAACTGCTCTCCCAAGAAAGCCACATCCAGCTGCTGCAGCAGGCACACGCCTTCGGTACGAGGCGGGTGGGAGAAAGGAGCCTGCCAGCTGGGATGGAGAGGGGGAGACAGAAAGAGGGAGGAGCAGGAGCCAGATGTCAGGAGATGACAGAGGAAAGAGAAGTAAAACGGAAGACAGGTAAGGGTGGCAGGCTATGAAGATCTAGGACCACAGTATATTTCTTTACTGACCCCACTGCTCCCAAAACTAAGAATGTTTGTGTTGTCATCTGAAACCCCAACCAAAACGCACCTCCCCCCCCCACCAGCCTGTGTGCCACCACCACATTTTTTTCATGTATTTACCTGCTGAGAGACAGCAGATCTAAAACTGACCCTCTAAGAAAAAACATGGAAGTTAAAAATGCAAAGTGCCACAAGCAACCATTCCTCAGACTTAAGAGCAGGGTAAGTTACATGAAAAGAACACCAAGGCTGTAAGGCAACCTGTCCAGAGGTCAACAAGCGTGGCAGCCACTCACCCCCTTTCCTTTTCGGAAGGGACACCACCTCTTTACTTGAGCCCAAGCTTCCTCTTACAGAAATCCCTTGCTTCATTCACTGCCCGGGACAGGCTGTGATGATCGAGGACAGGAGAAAGGCTTATGCTTTGTTCCGGTTTTCAAGGCGGTAAATAAATAACGCTTTGCAAGAGAAGGGATGGTGTCGCAGACAGACAAATCTAAGCACTTCCTGAGAGAGATGGATTCTCCCTGTGTTTCTGCCCCGTGCTGCAATGGCAACCCAGCAGGTTGGGAGAGCACCCGCTCTGTGGCACCAAGGGCTGTGTTTGGGAAGCACGACAGCCTCTGTCTTTCTGGCTATCAGGAAGGCTGTAACAAACTACTCAGAGGTCTGTAGCCCTCAAAGGTGATTTAGTTTAACACCTGCATCCCTTCAAGGATCAGGAATTAGGTAATGTGGGGAGAGCACCACAGGAAAACAGATGAGAAGATAAATCATCTCAGTGCAGGCTTTGGATGGTTCACAAAATAAACAGGGCTCGGGGCTGCACGCTGTTGAGAAGTAGTGCCTGCTGCAGTGGCACAGGCACAGGCTGCAAAAGGGGCAGCACAGGGGAAGAGAGAGGCGATTGTGCAACCCATAGCCCTGCGTGTACAGGGGAGCAGGTTACATACTTAACCCTGAAGTCTTCACATTTCACAGAGCTCGAATGTATGTAGATGGCGAGCAGTTGTGTTCTGCAAACGGAGGGAGGTTTGGCTATCAGCTGGCACAGAGGAATAGGAGAGAGCAGAACGTAGTTTCCATGTGCCTTGCAGGACAGAGGCAGAGGGGCACGAATTGGACCAAGAGAGGACAAAAAAGCATCCTACAACAGCTCCCACGTGCCCAAGGTGCACATCACAACGTGCCACAAGGCTGCTTGCACCAACCTCTGCTCTGCCAACAGCCAAGTCAAACATCCTGCATGCACTGTGAGGATCTTGAGCGCACTTTTGCTCCACACATTGAATTTTCTCCTTCAGCCTGTGACCAGGCTCCCTATTTATGTCTCCCACCTAGGACTACTCGGCTGACTCCCTGCCTCCTTTCCCTCAAGCAGCCTGCAAGCACAGCACAGTGCCCGTGCCATTCAAGCTCAACCTCAGAGCCAGCCAGATGGGTTTGAAACAAAGCCAGATGACTTTGCCTAGCCCCGTCTCGAGCTCCTACTTTCAATAATGCCTTTATTGCACAACATCACAACAACTTCACAGCATGAATCCTGCTTCCCACGGTCCTCACTGCCAGGGCTACATGCAGGCAGAAACACTTGCTCAAACCACTTTTTTTTTTAAGTTTTACTTACAGCTTTCACTCTGAGCGTTCATGCCACAGGCAGCAGAGTATGAGCCCACGCAGAATAATCTCCCAACTACCATCCAGGCAGGCACAGGGCTGAGCAATGCCCCTACCACGCAGAGCTTTACCCTTGCCATGAGGAGGCTAACTGTCCTTAGCCACCAGCCCTCTCCTTATCAGCCACAGCTTGCTCAGGTGCTTGTGGTTTCCTCTTTCTGAAAGCAGCAGCTACCAGCCAGGCCATCACACACCTTAATTTAGGAAGCTGTTTCGTGTTTTCTTGTGATGTTTCCACACCTCCACACGCCGGCCAAGGACTGTCACATGAATAACAGCGCTGAGGTTACATGGCACTTTCCCTGTAAAAAACACTCAGCAAGGAAACCCACAGGCATTATGCACTGTCAACCTTTCCCACAGGCTAAAATCAAGAGGTACCAGCAAGCAGTCATGCAACTTTGCATTTTATAATGTAGCATCATAGCAAAGGAGCATGCTCAGGAACCACTACACAGAATGAGGTACACCCGCTTAACTGTTCCACATGAACATTTTTAATTTGCAGTTGAAAATTTATGCCGATTACACTTGTATCAGCTAGATGGTTTCCCTATTCAATGGAACAAAAAAGAGTAGGAGTAGGATTTTTCGCAGCATAAGGCATGAAACTGACCCCTCTTATACTATTAATTTCAGGCAGGAGCAGGGCTAATCTCAGGGTTTTTTTACAGTCACCTGCTCCCCCAGTTTCTAAATTGCTGTCTCCTACAGGCTCAAACCTTTGAACTATTTTGAAATCTTAATTCTTGCTGCAGCTAATAATTTATGAATTTTCATTTCTGGTACTGAGTATTTCTCAGAGGCACTACCTTCTGCTAGCCACATTGATGGACGCCAGCCAGACAACTTGTCCAATGGAGACAAACTCCTGCACTTCTGGGGCTTTCCATGCACCAGCAAGTTGGAAAATCAGAGCTCCAGCAACAAAGGTACAATACGTGTTATGACACAAACCATGTACCACATAGGACCAACCTCCACTGTGCACATATAAAAAAAAATACATGAAAGACATAGATTTGAGGTCAAATATGATGATTAAAGTTCTAAGAGAATTCACTCTTCAGTCCCGGACTGTCCAGCATCTGTCAGCCTTATTTTAGTGTTGTTTTTAACCACAGTTGTCTCACTCATAGAAGGAAATGAAAGGATCTATAATTTTATCATCTAGAGAAATACAGTGAAAAAATTATTTTTGTTTCTTTTGAAGACATAAACCACCTAAAAAGATGAACATGCAAAAATGTAAAAGCTAGAAAATCTTAGATAAAAATCTGTGGTTTTTTTGTTTGTTTGTTTGTTTGTTTTTTCTGAAGATGTTCAATTTGCCAGGTTTGTTTGATTATGAAGCTTCTACACACAGATTATATAAATTACCTATGCTACATTTTTGGTTTGCAACAATAAAAAATAGCTAATTACCATGTTACTTTTAGTCCTCTAAAGTCATGCTAATGAAAACACTAATCAGAGATTGCAGTCACTTAAAATTCCAGCCTTGGTCTGTTGTAGGTGTAAGGTGTATTTCATTGAGCAATAAGATTTGTAACTTTATTATGATGCAAGGCATATGAGGCAGAATTAAATCAGCTCCTAATGAAATGTGATTTGGGGACTCTTGCTCCAGGTGGGTGATAATTAGGGCTTATCACAGATAGGTCTAGGAAAAGGCTGGGAAATACTTAAGCTTGTTTTGCAGCTACTCTTAGCTCTTAGGAAGGAGTGATCCTTCTGTGGCAGCAGCCTGAAGATTTCTGTATATGCAGGACTGGTAACAATAAGTTTTTAAACTCAGTTGTAAATAATATGGTTATAGTAAGCCTGATAAAAGACTGCTTTAATAAATCTTTCTAATTTAGTGTTTTTAAAGCATAAGCTGTGATAAAAATAGTGATTTGCATAGCTCGTTGGCTCAGACAACTCAAGTAATATGTTAGTTCAGCAGCTGGCTTCAGATCGGCCCTACAGAACTTGCTCTGTATGATGTCTGTTAACTTGAAATTCTGCTTTTGATCATTGCCTGAGAACACAATGAGCAACTCAGAGTAGGTTTCCTAAAGCAGAAGGATGGTCCAAAAGGCAGTTCTTGTATTCTCTCCTAGATGAAGGTTTTAATAGCTCCATGTTAACCGGAAGGGCTGCTCTGACATCTAAAATAGTAATACTAAAAATATAAAACATTATGAAAAGTGAGCTGCCACTATCGTAAAAATAAGTACTTCAAAAGTAGCTAAAAGTAGAAGCTAGACCATTATTTGTAAAATACCTTGTCAATACTGGAAAAAAAAAATATGTATGAACAACAAAATACCTTTCTTCTTAATGGAGACTGCAACTCAGATCTGGAGCAGGTTCCTGCTTAAAGCCTTTCTGTGTCTGTAGAGAGCTGCTGCTGCTTTCCTTTCCTTTCCTTGACAAGGCTGGTCTCATGTTCTCCTTAAAGGAGAACTACTGCCTGTGAAGGGAAGACTACAACAGCATTTAAAAAACAGCAGTTCCCCTGAACTGCAAGACTCCAGGCTGGAGTTATGAGATGAGGAAACACAGCAAAATGAACTAGAGAACATAACCTCAGAAATAATGAAAGACTATAGAGAATGCTTCTTCTCCCCATACCTGTTCTGATTTTAAATAATTTTTAATACAAAATGAATACAGTTTGGGTCCTTTTGTAGCTTAAAAGAATGCTTCTTGATGGGTTTCTGTTCTCCATGCATGGTGTTCATTCCAGGCAAATTCTGACCTTTTTTGTAAAACTAAAAAAGGTAAACCACTTCCTTCTATATTCAATCAAAGGTTTGTATATCTAAACTTCCATTGCAAATGAACAGTGAATTTATGGATTTGTTGAAAAATAACTTTTAATTCTTTTCCTAGTATATATTCACATTACTTACATTACATGTGGTTGTTGGTGGTTTTTCCTGGTGCGTGTGTGTGCTGTTTTGTTGGTTGGTTTGTTTGGTGGGGGGGTTGGTTTTTTGAGGGGTTGGTGGTGTTTTTTTTCCCCTAAATAGTTCATATGGCTGTAATAGTCCAGACTTGAAGAGCTTTTAACATCAAGGTGTTTGGAAGCACTTCAGTGCAATGCAGACTTTTTAGCACTTCAGAGTACTGCTTGCTTTACAGATTCAAGTACCTAATGTAAGTCTGGGGTAAGGAGTCAGAGGAATTCATAAGCCAGCAAATGCCAAGCTTACAGCTCAGGTTTGACTTCTTCTTTAATGATGTTATCTACTTATCCTGCTCCCTTTGAAGTCGTTTCAATTCTGTTTGATTTAGGGTAAGAAAAAACAGTCATGAGATCTGCTCCTAAGAGAAGTCTCTTAAGTGTCATGGTTCTGCTCCACATTAATCGAGGAATAGAGGCAAACAAGGTTATTTTCTTTTATAGTGCCACAATCTAGTTGGCCTTTATTTAAAAAAATAAAACAAAATTAGTAATCCATGCAGAGGGCACCTCAGTCCTTTCTGAGATGCTAGCCCAGACTTATGCACCCACGGCACTGCACAACTGGTACTGTATCCCATGAAGCTGCCGAGGCTGCCCCTGCCTCTCTTTGGCCCTAGTTCCAGAAATAGCAGATCACTGCTTTCTGTTGGGCACACAATGCAGGTTACAGTGCCTCCTTCTGTAGGGGATTAGCTAGCAACAGGCAAGGGCTCAGTGGTCTCCACAGCCTGAGGAGACTCAAAGACAGCTGAGGGTGGCCAAGGACACTCACCTTCCTGCTGAATGTAAGCCACTGCACAGAAAAAAAAAAGAGGCTAGAAAAAGGGAGAGTTAGGGTACTCTGTATACACACCTTGAGTGTTATCATGTATTCAGATACACTGCCCTGCTAGTATGTGAGAGTCAGATATGCTGATCAGTTGAACCTTTTTGGAGGATGAGAACAAAAGAGAAGGGAAAGAATGTAAGTGGAGAGGAAAAATATAAGAGGAGAGAGGGGGGAAAAAAAAGCTTTTTCCTTGAGGTTCTTATGAAAAACCATAAAACCATTCTTCTTACAGTCTATGGACTACTGGGGGAACTGACTGACATTGCCAAAGTCTCTCTCCTTACTAAGGTTAAATTTAACTCTTGGAACAGAAGATATAAGTTGGATGAGACCTCAGGATGCCATCTGGCCTAACCTCTGCTTGTGGAACAGCCAGCCTCAAAGCCAGGTCAGGTTGCTCAGGCTCTTCTCCAGGTGAAGATTCAATCTCCTCCCTGAGCAGCCTATTGCAGTGCTCCCCAGCTCTTCCTGTGGGGAAATTTAGGTCAGGGTGGTGCTGTTTCCTTCTGGGTTTCTATCCTCAGACCAGCAGGATTATATAGATTTACTGGAAAGGTAGTGCATCCCCTATAATGTAAGTTTAATCATGGCTTAACCACTAGGCTACTGCAAATAGTTTTGTTTGTTTCATAACTCAGATTTCTGTTGAAGGCTACCTGGAAGCTCTGTGCAGCAGCACACAATCCCCTGGGCTTGAGAATGGTGCCCCTCAGCGGTGGATGCCACTGGCAACCTACCATGCCATAACATGCTGTCCCACCCTCTAACCCGCCTACCCACCCTCTGGCCCAGCAGCAGCTCTACCAGCACCGTTCGGCCACACGCTGCATGCCTCTCTGCAAGGCAGTCTGGCTAGAGGCCCTGATGTCAAAAATTACTGTAGGGTTTTAATGTGCCTCAAACAAGGGAATAGGGATATGACTTCATTGAAGCTTACCTTATTTTTTTTTCTTCTCCCTCCACTCCTTACAAATAAGAAATGGTTAGGACAGTTGGACTTGAGAGATTAAAATTAGTTATGTTCTAGTTAGTGGGATTAGGAATTGATTGTTGCCAGAAGCTCTATTTCTTTAGAGTAGAAGAGTACCAAGGACCTAAATGTTCTGCTGCAAATGTTCCCCAGTGATTGGGTGTGGTGAAAAACAAGGCTCAGCCTTGGACATTGTGCTGGGTGAGGGCAGTGACAGACAGGATGGAGCTCCAAGTACTCCAGCTGGGCCTTCACTTGACCATCACAGCCAACAGAGGAGAGAAAAAAAAAAAAGAAAGAAGTGTATGAAAAGGTGCTCAAACACCTCTTGTGGTTTTGTCACAAAAGGTGTAATCACATCCATTTCACATTGTTATGAATTAAACTAAAGATTTTTTACTTGACTTGTGTCCTGAGCTGTAATTTTTATGGCATATACTGTTCACTTCAGATCTTACTTGCCTGGCTTTGATTGAAAAATGGATTTGTATCTTCAGGAAGGCCTACACATGAAGACATTGTCTTCTGTGAAGATTAATATGAAGTCTCTGTTATCTATTTTCCTAGATAGCTGCTTTTTTTTTGTTTTTTTTTGGTTGGTTGTTTTTACACAGGAGGATGTGAATACTTGAGATGCAGTCACCTGTTCCATTTAACCACCTGAATTACCCAATCTTTGATATCTATTGATACCTCCCCTTCCCCAGGTGAAGGTTAAGGATTTTATATTAACCTATTCTCCTGCAGAAGAGCAGCACAGCAAATGATGGTGAACTCTAAGAAAGGTTTACTACACCTCACATCCATCTTGTTTGTTGTACAACCCTTCTCGCTTCTCTTTCTTTCTCTTTCTGGCAGTGGTTCAACTCCTGATGGAAGAGCAAAGCGTTATCACCGAAGTCCCAGCAGCCTTAAAGCGCCTGGCCAAATACATGGTGCGTGGCTTCTATGGAGTTGAGTACTCCTTGGCCCTTGATGTGCTGATCCGCCACCCCTGCGTGAAAGAGGATGACTTGTTAGAGCTGCTGAAGTACGAACGCAAACAGCTGCGTACTGTTCTCAACACGCTCAA